GGTCAGGCCAGACTCGTGACCTTTACATTGCAATCCTATGGGAAAATATTGAAACGCCTCCTGCTTCGTGTAAACGAGTCAAAATCACCCAATTCTTTCAGTATTATGGAAGATTATCTCATCGGTGATGATCCTGGTGCCGCTAATTGACAGGGGCACCGGCAAAGGTCATCTGAGGTCATGTGACGTCATAAATCGTTTTTCTGTAAATAAATCACGACATGATGGTGCTAAAGACTTGTAAGTGGTACCAAACTGCTCGCCTGGTCAAGGCGCGTCGTTTGGTATGCAGCATGACCATACCCCACAACCTCATTGATGAATGACCTGACCTTGACCTCAGGTCAAATTTCAAATTGACCTGTGAAGGTCGTCACATACTTATTTCGCATCGCCTCGGCGAGAGCAACAAAAAATGTATTGGTTTTATGTCTCTATGTTTCTTAGTTTAAAAGTTATATAGGTAACTAATTCCAAAACATTTTATCGTTGATGACCTCTGGTGACCTCAATATTGACCTGACCTGAAAATGTTTTATGTAAAAGTTGTAGATCTTTAAACGACCTATCAAACGCCGTTCGCCGTTTGTCGCTGCGATGTGTAGTTTTTGAGATCTGAAGGGGGGGGGGGGCCGAATCGGCCCCCCCGCCAGTTTCTTGTCCCGGAGGAGCCCGCCAGGAATAGGGTTAACGCGCGCTGTGATTATTGGACTTTCAACCAATCACCTCAGATATGACCCCTCGTTCACTGCTCAGCTAGGGGTCGCGTACATATGACCCTGAAACCGTTTTCAGTGCTAGGTATATGGGCGAAGATGCGCCTTGTCGCTGAGAGCCCGGGCCCGGTGCGGCTTGAACGAGGCGCAAGTTGCAGCGCGATGCGACGTTTCCTGGCGAACGGTTGAGCAGGCAAAGGTGCATTCTGGATCGGAAATTTCTTAGAAAATATTCTCACTCAGTTACGATCACGGTATGCCAAAGCTGCCTGAGACTGAAGCAGCATTTCAGCGGCAATTGACGAAAATCTGGGGTCTGCTGGACACAAATGTTCAATCATCTTCGTCAAGGTCAAATAAATGACTGACAGGCTGGTCCACGAGGGGTTCCTGGACACGAAAATCAAGGCGACTTGCTCTAAGGGTCATTTCGCATTTCAACAGCACGGAGCGCCCTCCAACAACGCCGCTGCCGTCCAAACCAAACTGACAGAGGAGCTCGGTGGACCAGATCACCGCGGTGAAATGAGATTAGGGCACCTTATTATCCCAGCCTTAACCCGCTCGACTAAGGCATGCTACGTGTTTTGCAGAATAAGCTCTAGGCCACCTCTCATCCCAGCCTGGAGTCGCTGAAGACTCGCATCATGACAGCATGGAAGGACAGGAAATGTCCTGCATCGTCAAAACTCGCAGGCGTTTCCGTCCTTGCGTCGAGGCCGTCTTCGGCACAGACAGTGGCTGCAATGAATGGGCACTTAGCAGAAGCATGTGGCTTGGTGTTCCTGGTCATTGTTTTGTTCTATTGTTGAGTATCTATGTATGGACCAAAGGCATTTATTTTAAAAATGTTGAAAAGCGCCAGGACTTTCCGGATACCCTAGTGTAGACAGTAGCGGCGGAACACCTTCAATTAAGGGGGAGGGGGGGCACTGCCAACTTTTGGTCCCATTCTTTCCGTGCAACGCCCATAGGGCTTATGTTAAAATGCCAAAATCAAAGGGGGCACGGTGCCCCGGTGCCCTCCCCGTTCCGCCGCCTATGCCTGTAGACCTAACATGGCGCGTCATATCACGCGGAATTTTGGCAGCCACCATTGCCCTTTGTATCAGACCCGGAGTCGGAGTCGGAGTCGGAGTCGGAGTAGGTCAGAAGCCCGGAGTCGGAGTCGGAGTCGGAGTCGGATGAGGACTACCAAGACTCCGAAACCCTGCCCAAAACCCCCCTAAATATTGAGATAGAGCAACCAAATTTGCACAGGGGCGAGAACTCCAGGGGGCCCACCTACCTACCAAATTTGGTGTTTCTAGGTGCCATAGGAGCCAATCGCGAGGGGGGGTCGCATCAACCCCCCCCCCCCCTGCCAGGCCGTGTTATAAAAAATGCCCTGCCAGGGCGAGGGTTAAACGGCGCACATTTACCGCAGTGCGGCTAAGTCAGTGTGGGTTTATTGCAGAATAGCTCAGTTCAGTCGGTGCGGGTTTACCATGAAGCCATGTGTATTGGCCGTGGTATGTGTGATACTGGTAGGGATCCCCAGTAAACATGCCGACGTCGGCCAACGTCGGGGTGACGTCGGCAACTCGGCATCGGCATGCCGACGTCGGCCCGACGTCGGTCCAGCCTCGGCACGACGTCGGCTGGATGTCGGATATGCCCGCATGTACCGACGTCCAGCCGAGGTCCAGCCGACGTCGGGCCGACGTCGGACCGAGATCAATTGCTGAGGTCCAGCCGACGTCGGGGCGACGTCGGACCGACATCGGCCGCTGTTTTGACCGTTAACATAATATAAAATACATGTTTCATGTTTCATAAAGAGCTTCTGTATTCAAAATATCCTCAAGAAACTCAAATCTTCCTCCACGCCGCAACCCCCTGATCCGGACTGGACGGGAAACTTTATCCCATTTGGGATTGCCCGTAAGCCGAGCTCGCCCGTAGCCGGGTGCGGTGAGTGCTTGGGGGCTGCTCGGCCTATCCTTTGGTCAGACTCAGTCCCGGCAACTCACCAGGGCCGGGCCCAGTTCATATGGAAAGGCCAGTCGGCAAGTGTCACTTTGCCAAAGTGCTACTTATCAAAGGGACACTTTGGGAAACGTTGGTGCAGGTGTGTAAGAGTGGCTATATGAATCCATTGTGGGGTCGCTCTTTCCAAAAGTGTCACGTAACAGCAATGGGACCAGGGACTCTAAAGGTATGAACTGGACCCAGGGTGCTCGCAAAGAAGACCAATGTCTCCATCCTATCATCCTTCCGGCTCTGAAATGGTCTTGTCAGACCGAAAGGGAATAAGGCAACAAAACAAACTAAATTCGCTATCTGCCTGCGTGGTGCAATGGTTAGCGCACTAACCTCGCGTCCAAATGGCACGGGGTTCGAATCCCTTCGCCGGCTGGTGTTTTTGGCGTGTTGTCCCAGTAAACATGCCGACGTCGGCGACTGGGGGGCTCGAATCCCGCCGCCGGTTGATATTTTTGGCGCGTTGTCCCAATAAACATGCCGACGTCGGCCCCGTCGGTCCAACGACAAACGATCTCGTCAACCTCGGCAAACGACCTCGGCCCGACCTCGGCTGGACTTCGACTGGACGTCGGAACATGCGGGCATATCCGACGTCCAGCCGATGTCGGGCCGAGGTTGAACCGACGTTGGGCCGACGTCGGCATGTTTACTGGGTCACTGATCAGGTGTATTACAGAACGAATTTGCCATGGAGCAGTGCAGATCAGTTGTAGTGCTCTAGTACGGAGTGGATTCAAATCATGGCATGGGGATGTGATTCACCTGTAATCTCTTCAGATGACTTGTCAAACAAACTACCTTCCAATGAACGCAGGCACCCTACATTACCGGGCATGTGCAAGTTGACTCTCTGGCCAGTGCCAGTCTTCGGGATCAGTCTTCTCGAGCCCTTCCAAACCCCACTTCAGGACTCTTTACAATGCCAGTCACCTCAATCAGGTATCAGTATGGTTCACTCCAAGTCCAGTCACAGCTTTAGCGACTAGAAGACCGAAGATCAACCAGTCTGGTCCTAACTTTAGCCCCAATCTCTTCCGAGGGCTGTCACAAATGTCAACCCAGGGGGCTCGGGGGGGGGGGGGGGCAGGTGGCCTCAGATGAACATTACATTCACCACCAGTTATGCTGAATGCTGCGCTAATATCTTGGCACAATCTGCCTGCTGTGCAAGACATGTCAATGGTAATATCAATCCTTTCCCAGTCTGGGCCTGTGGACTGTGGTAGGTACCTAGCTATGGTGCAGAATGCAGATCTTGCATGGTGCAATTGCATGCTGTCATGGTCATACTCCTATCTGAAACTGGTGTGCTATTGCTGTACTGCCCAAGATAAATGGACATTGGTAGAGCAGACGTCACACGAAGGTTTTCCAACCAAGGAGAGGCGCTGCAGGTTTGTAGGTTGTAGGGTAGGTTTGTAGGTTGTAGGTTTTTAGGTTGTAGGTTTGTAGGTTGTAGGTTTGTAGGTTGTAGGTTGTAGGTTAGGTCAGGTTAGGTTAGGTTTGTTTAGGTTTTGTTAGAAAGAAGTATCTCCGGGCATAGCGCCTCTCCTTGGTCGGAAAACCTTCGTGTGACGTCTGCTCTACTAATACCGATAAATCTATATCTAATGGGGTGAGGTCAGTTGGTCAGCAGCACTTTTAAACGGAAAACAGCCAAATAATTGAGTTCTTCATGCAAAGGCGAAGTCCTAGACTTGGATAACACTGACACAAATGCACCTCCACCTCAGGTGCATGCGACCTATTCTGATTCTACAAGTTGACTTACCATATTTTATTGTTATCACGATATAGGAGCGCAATAACAAAATGTTCCTGCTTCGCCCTACGCCCAAATCGCACGAGTGAAATATGAAGAAATAAGGGGGCGACCCCGAAGAGCTGCAGCAGATCCGCGATGGTAAAGATCAAAGATCAAGATCAGCAAGTTCAAAATACAGGATCGTAAACGGGTCAGGCGGCTTTGAACACATTTCTGTTGTCTGATACAACGCGCCATAAATGGAAAACTATCGTCATAGTTGTAGTAAATACTATAGAGATGAAGATCTTTGTAGTACTTGGTTGCATACATGCATACTTGCATTTCACAGTGGTTTCCAAAAGCTGTACATATGTCAATATAGATTTCAAAACAGTTTTTAAAGCATTATAACGATAAACAAAGCAAATTTTAGCTGGATAGTAAAAAAGTTTTGAAATACTTAGTACTTGCTATGCATACGCTCACGTCATGTTGATCCATCACTTCCTATGATTGCAGAACGCACTGCTTGCGTGGTGTAATCTTCGAACAGTAGAGTGGACATATTTTATTTATATTCAACTTTTAGAAGTTGAGGAGTATTGTTGTGCAATTGTGTGCAGTGAGGTTTGTGAAGGTGTGTGGCTTGTGAGGCGTGTAAAAAGCGTTTTGGTGTAGCACTAAAGCAAGCACTGAGCAGCACTGAGGCACACTTCACGCTCAAAATTTCCCAGCTTGCAGCTGCGGACTGTAGCTGGAGCAGAGCGAGAGTGAGCGACTTTCTCATTGCGTTCGCTGTGGAAGGATTGACGGATCCGAAATCTAGCTCGAGTGCCATCGCCGATTCCGACATACCTGCTTGGCGAAGTGATTTCGCTTGGTGGTGGGTACAAGTCTCAAAGGAACCTTCTACGAGGTGCGTTTATTATAATTATTATTATTTGCATTGCTGGCTAGATCAAGATGATCAAGGGCTGTGGCTGGCAAGGGTTTTGTAGTCCAATTTCACATAACCCCCATAATCATGCATGTCAATATCAATATAGAACAGAAATGTTCTGAGATGGTGATGCTTCTACATTTTCCATACATACCTATGCTTTTAAAAAATCACTGTTGACCACCTGGCTCTCTGTGTCTGTTTGTTCCAGTTCCCTGAAGCATCAACTTACTTGGATCCAGAAAGTTGGCCCCTATGTAGGTACTATTGGATAATGGATGATACAGAGGCATACCTACCTACTTCCCTAGAAGTCACTTTACAATGTTAATTGATGGGGATCATTTTTACTTATAGGATCCTGGGTGAAATCTTCCTTTCTCACCTTATGCTAAAAAAATATAAGAAACTGCACCATATTGTCAAAACTATTATAATATAGCTATTATTTTCTTTCTTATTTTGCCAATTTGTCCAGTTTTTAGAGGGTGCAAAAAGAGGAAATGACATATTGTTGCAACAATTGCATTTGTTTAGAGGCCTGGGGTGTTCCTTTTGGGTAGGTACAAGAGCACTGCACAGTTCTCAAGCAATAATGTGCATGCCCTGTTGTCTGTGTTGCCCATGGGCAAGGAGGAAATGTAGTCAGCCAGCTCTTTTCAGCTGTAGGTTGTCAGGAACTCAGGAGATTCATGAGACTCATCTGGTGTCAAAAGTGAATTGAGGGCACCTAGACCCCTGGTTTTGGAAGCTGGGGCAGGGCTTCCAAATCCACACCACACTGATTCTATTTTCTACTTATATCTTAGTGGTAGTATGTATATTCTCAAAGGACATTTGGGGCAAATTCAAACATATACTGATAAGTCACTCTCTGTAGTCAATACCTATATCATCAGTCCAATAGGCAATAACCACACTACAGCTACTATCACTGTCATGAGTCTGAATGCCCCTATCTGAAAGTTATTGACAAAGAAAATGTTAGTAACCCTCAAACCCAGCTAGCAAAATTGGTCTGGGGTCTGGACTGTATCTGGTTCTCTGGCTAGCTCTGGCACTTACTCTGGGTGAAGTATGGACAACGTCTGGGGCTCTACGGGAGCTGACACACGATCCCAGAGCTCGCCCGCAGGCCGTACCACGGCCGGACTTATGCCGCATCAGCCTTGCCTTACCTCAACCGTACTTCAGCCACATAAAGCCAGAGCAGCTACGAGGTAGCCGGACCTGGCCGTATCACGCCGTGGCAGGGAGCTGGACTAGAGCCGGACTTGGCGGCTCGAAACCATACCTACCAACGTCGGAACACTATGGCAAAGACTGGCTTACCGGAATGGAGTCATGTCGACCCAAACCCCCTGTTCTGACGGCGTTCCGTTTACACCGGCCCAAATCTGAGTTGTCGAAGTTGCCGGGGCAAAACGGACTAGCGGCCCACATGTCCCTCAGTGGATGCATCTGGTCCCGGTTTAATTAAACGGTATCGAACGGTCGCTACTCGGTGTTCGGTGTGGGGGCATCGGTGGGTGTCTCCTGATGCAGTGCCAATGCCGGTGGACTTATTTGCGCCGGTAGGATCGGGCGCGGCGCCGCTGACCCGATAGTTGTTGGATAGATAGTTGGTCCGACTGTGTCCGTGTTTTCTAGCATGTCGCCTCACTCGACGTGGCTGTGCCCGTGATTTGGTATCGAACTGAGTCGGTCTGGCTGTATATGTGATTATCTAACCTGTCGTGCTTATCTGGTACCGTAAGATGGGGCTATTTGAGTCAGTGGGGCTATTTGAGACAGTATTTAAAATTGTTATAAAGTAAAAACCATTTGAAAATTTATGCTTAATTTTTGCTCAGGCGATTTACTGCTGGATTTCACACCTCCCTGAGCAAAAATATCACAAAAAATCAAACGATCTTCATTTTATAGCGATTTTAAATACTGTCTCAAATAGCCCCACTGTCTCAAATAGCCCCACTTTACGGTATGTCGTTTGGATCGGTCTGGCTGTGTCTGACTCGGTTGAGATGTGTCCTTTGTTATCTAACTTGTCGTCTCAGTTGGTCTGGTTGTGCCCGTGATTATTCAACATGTCGTCTAAATCGGTCTGACTGTGTCCGTGATCAGGTATCTAACCTGTCGCCTGGGACAGTCTGTGTCTGAGTCGGTTTAGCTGTGTCTGTGGTTAATTGTTATCTTACCTGGCGTCTTACTCGATCTGGCTATGTCCGTGGTTAGATATCCAACCTGTCGCCTGAGTCGGTTTGACTGTACCTGTATCTGATTATCCGACCGGACAGCCGACGGTAAGCTGTGCGTTCTCACAGCCTGGCATTCTGGCTCAATCATCTGTTATCCGATTGCCCGTCTGTGAATTTCGCTGCATTTCACCCTGTCGGATCCTAGAAGAGTGGCATCCGGGGCATTTGAACACCATCAAGACACCTCGGCAAACCTGCTCCCCCCCCCCCCCCCCCCGTAGTACCCGCTGCAGCGATTCGGTAGCGTGCGCTGGGTCTCTATTCCGTGCACAACTCTGAGCGCCTTTTTTCGGCCGGTGCAGCGGCTTTTGTAGGTAGGCACTTCACGTGTTACCGGTGCGGCCGGTCCCTCCTTGTTCCTTCTTTGTCTGCCACTCCCCTCGCCGGTGCCGTGTCGTACCGAGTAGGCCGTGCCGTGTCGTACCGTGGCCGTGATGTGTCGTACCGTAGCCGTGCTTTGTCGTATCGCGGCTGGAAGTGCTGTGTCCTGCCGCAGCCGAGATACCGCGCTGTAACCGTGATTGTGAATGTGGTCGTCACATGACCTTGTCGTGCCATGACTGTGTCATACCGCGCCCCTGGGCTCATACCGTGCCGTGACTGACGCCGTGCGGCCGTGCCGTGACTGACACCGTGCTGTGTGCCGTTACTGACGCCGTGCCGTGTGCCGTCACTGACACCGTGCCGTGTGCCGTCACTGACACCGTGCCGTGTGCCGTCACTGACACCGTGCCGTGTGGCGTCACTGACACCGTGCCGTGTGCCGTCAGTGACGCCGTGCCGTGTGCCGTGACTGACGCCGTGCCGTGTGCCGTGTGTTGCAGCGGCCCGGTGCCGCCGCCGGCGCGCCTCCACCATGACGGAGCGGTTCAAAGTGACGGCGGCCAGCACCAACTCGTCTTATGGCGCGCTCGAGGACGGTAAGGAGGAGCCGTCCGACGCCGCCGCGGCCGACCAGCCGGGACCGGGGCCGGCACCGCCGGGACCGTCCAGCTCCGGACCGTTCGGACCCACCACCTACGTCCACCAGAAGGGTAACGTGATCCCAGCTTCTGTTCACTCGGCTGCCGGCCGTTCTGCCTGCACGGTAGCGCCAGGCCGTCTGCAGGGCCCGGGTGCCCGGCGCGCCGGCAGCGGACGGCGCGTCGGCGGCCGGCAGTTACGTCAGCGGTCCGGGCGCGGGCGGAGAAAGCGCCTAAGTCACTGCCGGATGGGCGGCGGGTCATCAGTGGGCGGCCGACCGACCGGTCAGACGGCCGCGGCGATATCCTCTGTCACAGGCCAGTCCAGAGCCCCAGCAGAAATTCACAGCTGTTTGTAACATAGCGACAATGAAATCAGCTGTTCTTTCGTTCATTATTGCTACTCGAATTTTGTATGCGATTCATTTGTCCTGTTGTGCGCTATATTTCCGGTCTGATATCCGTAACTTCGAAGTTAGATTAAATTCAAAAGATCAATCACGCTTGTCGTGGCTTGACTCGCCGGTTTTCCGAGTCGTGTTTCTTATTTACGGCCCCCACAGAGTGGAGTTATCCGAGTGCGGCAGGTGGCCTATCTATCTCACCTGGCCGTATCTCGGCGGCCACCAGCACGCCGCCGATCGATGTATCGAGGGAGGGGGGCTGGTGGTCGGTCAGTGCCGGCATCCTGTGCACATTGCCCCAAAAGACGGTAAATAACTTTTGAAAACACCCATCTCCAATTTTAGTGTTTTCTGGACCAAAATTTTGCGAGGAATCCGATGGTGTGGTCCCCGAGATCTGAAAAATTTCCATTTTGGAGATAGCACCTATTTTTTGAAAAAATAAATATTCGTCAGGCATAATAGTCAAATAAATTGAAAATATAATGAGTTAATTTTGGTAACAACACAAGAATGTGTCGAACATGAATTAGAGATATATTTTAGCTGAGATGATACTATATCTGCGCATACATGTACATGAATTAGTACATTAACCCTCGTCGGCCGAGAAGGGGTGGGGCGGGTGCCACCTCATAGGGCTGTTCGCGATAGCTTAAAACTCGCTTAGGGTAGACAGCTGAAACTTGGTATACCTAATATTTTGTTCAAACTGGATCTTTTGACCTCAGCTGCGTTTTCAGGTTAGGTCAGGTCACTGACCTATGACGTCATAAATAAACCTCTGCGAGGTCCTCAGATGTTGCAACTTTGCAATGCCCTCAGTGCCAGAGGAACTTTCACAGGAAGATGAAAGTTACAGGACGTAGTATCCTTCTGAGGTTTCACAACTTGTTTATCTCGGATTTAACCTAAATGTCACATGAGGTCAGGTCGGCCACGTGACCTCACCATTATAAGTCAATGGGGAAATATTGAAACTGTTATTTTGACGCCGGAAATGATCTAAAACTATCCCAAGCACATGAAATCGTGGTTTCATGATCGGACCTTACAAAGAGTGCATGAAACCACGATTTCATGTGCTTGGGACAGGTTTTAGACAATTTCCGGCGCCAAAATAACAGTTTTCATATTTCCCTCCATTGACTTATTATGGTGAGGTCACGTGACCGAACTGACCTCATGTGACATTTGGGAAAAATCTGAGATATACAATTTGTGAGACCTCTAAAGGATACTACGTCCTGTAAGTTTCATCTTCCTGTGAAAGTTCCTCTGGCACTGAGGGCGTTGCAAAGTTGCAACTTCTGAGGACCGTGCAGAGGTTCATTTATGACGTCATAGGTCAGTGACCTGACCTGACCTGAAAACGCAGTTGGTGTCAAAAGATCCAGCTTGAATAAAATATTAAGTATGCCAAGTTTCAGCTGTTTTCCTTCAGCGTGTTTTGAGCTATCGCGAAAAAAACCCTATGAGGCGGCATCCGCCCCACCCCTTCTCGGCCGGCGAGGGTTAATGTACTAGTTTATGTACATGTATGCGCAGATATAGTATCATCTCAGCTAAAATATATCACTAATTAATGTTCGATACATTCTAGTGTTAATATAAATATTCACTCATTATATTTTCAATTTATTTGACTTTTGTGCATGACGAATATTTATTTTTTCAAAAAATAGGTGCTATCTCCAAAATGGAAATTTTTCAGATTTCGGGGACCACACCATCGGATTCCTCGCAAAATTTTGGTCCAGAAAACACTAAAATTGGAGATGGGTATTTTCAACAGTTATTTACCGTCTGTTGGAGCAATGTGTGTGGACTGGCTTATGGTCTAGTGAGCTCAGGACTGAGCCCCTTTGACAGACGGCCGGTTCATATAGGTCTGTAGTGTGCTGAGCCCCGTAGGCTAACTGAACCGCTGTGTCGGTAATCGGCACTGAGCTCCCACGGCCGGCGGACAGTTCGGTCGGCCGGCCGCGGCTGTGCCGCCCCGGCAGCACTATTGATTGGTCACTCGGACTGAGCTCTTGCTGCGTATGTGGATGTCCGCCGCCCGCCCCGCCCCGCCCGCCCCGCCGCACTGACCTGGGGAGCGGTTTGACCGGCCGCTGGGCACTGCAGGCCGCCCCCGCCCGCCGCCTCCGCCGCCGGCACCCCGGCGCCAGCAGCCCGGCAGTTTTAGTTGCGCTCGTAACTAGAAGCTTGGATTATGAGCCCGCCTGCCCGCTGTGTCCCCATCCTGCCTGCAGTCACACTATGGCGTGTCCTCCCCAGGGTTCCCGGCCTGCCCGGGCGCCGACCTCACCAGAGGCGGCCCGGCCTGCCCTGGAGCAGCGCCGAGCCCCCGGCGACGCACACTGGTCGGAAACGCCCTCACGAGAGGCCACGGGCGATTCCGGAGTTTTGGATTATTTTTTATATAGATCGATTTGAAATTTATCAAATTATTATACTTAGGCCAAAAAAACTAATCCGGGTGACCAAAAATAACTGTAATCAGCCCCCGAAGATGGGGTATCCCAGAACTCGGAAACTGACGCGGAGCAAGAGGTTTCTTGAGCCGGATATTCAGAGTCTTATTGCTGATAGACACCAAATTGAAATCCCACATATTATGCATCAAAATGTTCGTTATGAAGTTGCCGACTGGTCAGTGCAAAATTTTTGGTATACTTTTTCCCTAACTAAGATGTACTGTAGCTTTTTTATGAAGGCTCTCCTACAGTGATTCTGGAATATAACTGCAAAGTTTAGGTAAGGAAACAACAGGTAGTCCCATCTAGTTCCACTCTGATTTTTTGTGAGATGAAGCAGGATTTAAGTTTACACCAGGGCAGCATAAAAGCTAACTGCGCATATTTGCGCAAAATTTGCAGGAGCCGCTCTTCTTACCCAACTACCGCCCGCCCCGCCCCAGTTTCGGCTCGGCCGCCGCGCCCGGCTTACGCTGACCTGTGTGGCCTGCACGCATCCATGCGTTAGTTGACTGGTCATTAAAACAGATGCGCTTGAGTTTATGAATTTTGTGAAAAGCGCGTTTTATGTATGCATTTATGTATGTATTGACATCAAAAGCCTTCCACATATTGCGTGGCGATTACGGCTTGCATTTAGAGAGCCTCGCTATTGACAACCATCACTCGGCTACAGTGATTCTGGAATATAACTGCAAAGTTTAGGTAAGGAAACAACAGGTAGTCCCATCTAGTTCCACTCTGATTTTTTGTGAGATGAAGCTGGATTTAAGTTTACACCAGGGCAGCATAAAAGCTAACTGCGCATATTTGCGCAAAATTTGCAGGAGCCGCTCTTCTTACCCAACTATACCGCCCGCCCCGCCCCAGTTTCGGCTCGGCCGCCGCGCCCGGCTTACGCTGACCTGTGTGGCCTGCACGCATCCATGCGTAGTTGACTGGTCATTAAAACAGATGCGCTTGAGTTTATGAATTTTGTGAAAAGCGCGTTTTATGTATGCATTTATATTTTATGTATGTATTGACATCAAAAGCCTTCCACATATTGCGTGGCGATTACGGCTTGCATTTAGAGAGCCTCGCTATTGACAACCATCACTCGGCTAAAGAAAGTGGAAATTGAAACCTTCGTGAATATAAGACGCTGCAAATATAGGACACCTGTCACTGACGTCGGGTTACCTTGGGCCGTCTTTTTACATTAGATCACAATTCCGGTATTTAACCCTGGCCGGACCGATTGGTTTTCTACATATATTGACCGGGGAGGGTTGGTACAACTCCCCAGGGGCGGATCCAGAAAATCTCCAAGGGAGGGGCCATTAGAAACCAGGAGGCCCCCCCCATAATCCCACCTGTTGGAGGCCCCATCTTCCCACTTGTTGGGCCCCCCCCCCCAAAAAAAAACTGCGTCTATTGAGCTTATCTAGCTGTTCAGGCAACATCTCAACATCTGTGCAGGCTTGGAGGCCCTCTGTGCAGGTTAGGAGGCCCTGTAAAAGTGGTCATCTCTGTGAGTATAAGAGACCTCCAAGTTATGAAAAGCTTTACCAATCTTCTAACAAAGAAGTCTTCTCAGCTAGTCTTCTAAGAAATAACTAAGTGGGTAGGTTAAAAAAAAAACTCATCGGATTTCGGCCACTTTATTTTCATGAGGCCCCCTTTTCAGCTTTTTAACTTTTTAACTTTTTATTTTATTTTTGAAAAAAATCGGCCAAGGGGGGGCCATGGCCCCCATGCCCCCCCTTGTATCCGCGCCTGCAACTCCCTCGCCGTTTCGCCTCTAATTGAGCTAGAGCCTCGCGGAAAAAAGCAAGCTTGTGTGCCGTTATAAGACGCAACAATTAGGTACTACCCGATTTTAAGGTCTTAGGTCAGCCAGTGACCTCTTAGGTCAGGTAAGTGCCACAAGGCACGGGCTCGGTTTTAGGTTAATTACTTTGCCAGAAATGGTCGCACTGCCGCGATTTTGACATCATCGTGTTTGTCTAGCTCAGGCGCGTTGAATGCTATACTTGGTGTTCGGGTGAAGTCAACTTAAGGTGTTAACCTCGGGTCAAGGTCAGGTCGGAACCCCTCAGGTCACGAAAATGGTTGAAGGAGGTCACATTGCATATCATTCGATTCGGCAGGTCTTCCTGAGTCCAATGGTGGCTTTCGCGACTCTCTAGCTCCATCTGATCAG